GGAGTGGAGGCTGGGAGGAGAAGGTCAGGATGCAGGAGGGCGGGGGGAGGAGGGGGAAGGGAAGCAGAGGGAGGCCAGGAGGAGAGGGGGAGGATGGATGCCAGGAGGAGCAGGAGGAGGAGAGGGAGGAGCAGGAGGAGGGAGGCCACGCGGAGGGAGGAGGCAGGAGGAGGAGGAGGAGGAGGAGGAGGAGGAGGAGGACGAGGAGGAGGAGGGGGACCCCGGGGAGGAGGACTCGACCCGCGGCGGCAGCCGCCGCCGACCGGGGCAGCGCCCGACCCGCCCAGGCTTCGCGAGGCGCTGGCAGAGCCCCCTCGTGGCAGGACCGGCGCTGCGCACCAGCGGGCTCCGCGCCCCGCCCCCCTCCTCCTCCTCCTCCACCTCCTACTCCTCCTCCTCCTTCTCCTCCTCCTCCTCCTCCTCCTCCTCCGCCTCCGAGGTGCGTTGCGAATAGTGAGAATAATGATAAGAAGAAGAAGAAGATGAAGAAGAAGAAGAAGAATACGAACGTGCCCCCCCCCTCTACGAGAGACGGGCAGGCAGAAGGCGTACCCATCGGTCGTTGAAAGTAGGTATTTTTGGATTCCCAGATTCCAATCTACTTTGAGCGCCTTCCTACTTCAAGAGTCGAGTGGGTTTCCCTCTTCCTTCCTCTTCAGGAGGCGTGCGGAAACCCAATCTATTTCCAACGCCTTCCTACTTCATGTTTCTACCTACTTCTTCCGACCGATGGGTAATGTGGGATGACGATCAAGAAAAAAGGAGGGGGGAACGATTAAAAAGATAGTTTCCCACACCGGGGGGGAAGGCTCAGAAGCAGGGCTCGCCTGTGCGGTGTTTCGTCACCGGGGGGGGGGGCGCGCGCCCGAGGACGGCGGGGGGGGGACGATTAAAAGAATAGTTTCCCAGCCCGGGGCCGCTTTTTTCTAATCATCATCCCGGGCGCCGCCGCGTGAACACGACCCCCGGCCATTTTTTTATCATTATCTTCCATTACGAGTCAGAGGTGCGTTGCGAATAATGAGAATTATGATAAAAAAGAAGAAGATGAAGAAGAAAAAGAAGAAGAATACGAACGTAAGAATAGTCAGAAGAACTCGAAGAAAACACGCCATAAACACAAACTTGCTGCGCTCCACGCGGATTTCTTGGATCTGCGCTGGGGCCCCCTGGCGGCGCCTCTGGCGCCGCCCCTAGCGCGCTGCGAGCGCGGGGGCGCAGCACCGTTCCAAGAAATCCGTGCGGACCTCCAAGAGATTATGTTCATGTGTTTGTTTGTTCCTCCAGCGTTGGCAACATGGCGAAACAGAGAAAACGGCAGAGCCCCGAGTCATCAGGGCTGGGGGCGGTCAGGGACAACTAACCAGATTCGCGCCTCGGGGGCCCGAACCAGAGTTGCCCCGGACCGCAGTTCTCTCACAGAACTCGGGCGTCCAACCCTCCCGAGTCATCAGGGCTGGGGGCAGTCAGGGGTAACTACAGATGCGCGACTCGGAGGCCCAAACAGGAGTTACCCCAGACAGCACTTACCCCGGCTAATTCGGGCGTCCTCAAACGGCATAACCGTAAATTGCAGGAGCTCCGCGCGGATTTCTTGGATCGGTGCTGGACCCCCTCTTTTGGATCGCGGGCGATGTTTCTCCCCCAATCCCCGAGTTTCGACCGAAAAGTCTGGCCGCTCAGAAGAATGGGAAAACCCTGGGATACACCCCAAGGGGGCTATTCGGACGCACCCCTATCGAGAATGGACACCCCCCCATCGTATATCCCAGGGTTAGGCCCCAAATTTCTGGTCCATTCGGAAACCCCACGAAGCCTGGGATAGGGGTCGACATATCCCCTGTTATTGGACGCGGAGCGCAGAACCGGAGATGTATGTGTGAAGCCCCGAGCGTGCAAAGTACGGCATCAGAGGAGAAGAAGAGGTTGAGGAGCATGGGAGGACAAACACAGATGCAGCAACTTTTCATGAAGGAAGTTCGCGGATCTTGGGAATAAAACCTGAACGACCCCAAACGACATCGCGGCGGGACTTGGGATCGGCAAGAGGCAACAGGGCAGGGAAAAACACAGGAGAAAGAAGACATCGCTCGATCATCGATCCTCGATCCAGGGGTCATTCGGATTCCGCCGGCTCGATTAGAGTCGATTTCCCCAGCTGCTCCAAGCGATTCGATGCGGAGACTCCGACCCGAGATTCCGATTCCGAGTTCGCCGTGTCCGACTCCTGCGACTCGATGCGTCAGCCGAGGCTTGCCGATCCCCCCTCGATCCGGCTTCTCCCTGGAGGTATCTCTTACTCGGAGGCTGGAACATATACGTTACCAGTGGCGGGCTGTTTTTCAATCCCAGGACTTCTTGAGGGTCGAGGACGACGCTTGGGTGTTGTGGTGTATATTTTTTCCCCCGATGTCCCGCGGAAACAACGAAAAATGTATACACCAGGGTCCCGTATACACCAGGATCCGCTCTCCAGTGCAAATTCCAATGCAGGGCCGGAAGGAGCCCGTTTCTTTATTGCTTGGGGCATGACGGGCGTCATGGCCCCTGCCCCCCCACATCCCCTTTGACGTGACCCTCCCCCCCCCCAGTGCGCTCGGGGCACTGCCGCCGTGCGCATTGGGATCCGTGTAGGTGTCCGCGTAGGAATCCGAATAGGAGTCTGGTCCGCAGTCGTCGTCGTCGTTGACGTCGTCGTCGTCGTCGTCGTCGCTCGTGGCTCGTTGCTCGTCGCTCGTCGCTCATCGTCGTCGTGCGCGCTGACGCGGCTGGAGCCTGTTTTTTATTCCGGGCCGATGACGGCAAGCATCTGGGCGGGGGGGAGGGGGTCGATGACGTCACGTTTCGCGCCGACGGCGCTTGGGAATGCTTAGGAATGACGGAGGACAGGTGGCACCAGCATGTAGGTGGCGATCTGCACCACAGCGCCCGTGTACACCTCAGTGCCTGCGTGCACCACAGCGCCTGTGTACACTACACCGCCTATGTACACCACAGCAGCCGCGTGCAACACAGCGTCAGTTTGTGCCACCGTGCGCGCGGGCACAACAGCTTTTGTGTACACCACAGCGCCTGCGTACACCACATCAACCGTGTGCAACACAGCACCAGTGTACACCACAATGCCTGCGTGCATTGCAGTGCCTGTGTACACCACGGCGCTTGTGTGCACCACAGCAACCGTGTGCAACACAGCACCATTGTTGTATGTAGAATGTTAGAAGGAATCGTTATGACAAAATGTTTGGTTTCCACGGGAAACAACATGGAATAATCCTTATGGACAAAGGAGCGCCAGGGGAATCTACGAGTCTTTCCGAGTTCGCCCACATCACTGTAACTCCTCCCATCTGCGTAGGAGGTTCCAGGTAAGTTGGCGGTCCGAAAACCAAGTGGGCCGATTCAATAGACCATTCTGCGGTGCACGCTGAGATGCGCACGTGCGTTGTAGCGCCAACCCGCACGACCGGGGGTAAGGAGGAGGAGGAGGAGGAAGAGGAGGAGGATGAGGAGGTGGAAGTGGAGGAGAAGGGAGGAGGTAAGAAAGTCGCAGTCGATTATCAGCACTTTCCTGGCGTGGCGCTTCCGCAGCAGATCCTCACGTACAGGCTCCTCCTACCTGTCCTATGCACGCAGGCACCGTGGTGTACAATAGCGCTGCGTTGCACGCGGATGCTGTGGTGTAGACAGGCGCTGTGGCGTGCACAGGCGCCGCGGAGCACGCAAGCATTGTGGTGTACACAGGCGCTGTGTTGCACATGGTTGCTGCGGTGTGCACATGTACACCGGCGCTGTATTGCACGAAAGCGCTGCGCTGTACACAGGCGTTGCGTTGCACACGGTTGTTGCGATGTACGCAAGCGCTGCGGTGTACACGCGTGTTGTGGTGCACGCGAGCGTTGTGGTGTACACAGGCGCAGTGGGGCAGATCGCCACTTACATGCTGCTCGCGTCGTCGTCGTCGTCGTCGCTTGTCGCTCGTCGCGTCGTGCGCGCGGGCGCGGCTGTGGTGCTGGGGCCACACGGCGGGGGGGGCGTTACGTCATACCCCCCCCCCCCCCATGACGCCCGTCATCGCCGAACATAAAGAAACGCGCTCAAGAAGCGTCGGTGTATAGAGTTCCATTCCCTATTTACGCCGTCTGGAGTTCCACGCGGTTGCACGTCCAGGTTTCCACGTCCTTGACGGTGCGCCCCTGGCATGTCCAGGCGGTGCGCCTGCGCCTCGCCGCCGCCATTGGCTGCGACCCGCGGCCGCCTCTCCGCCGCCGTCCTCGCTGTCGCCGCCGCCTTTCCGCTGCGGCCGCCGCCGCCGCCGTCGCGGGGTCGCGGCAGGATAGCCCCTGGACGCCGGGTGCGCCTCGGCGGCCGCGGCATCAGCAGCAGGAGGATCAGCAGGGAGCGCTCGGAGCGAGCCGCAGGAGTAGCGACGGCGACCGCTATTCAGATTCAGGCGCGCTGCTGCGCGGGTTCCCGTCCCCAAGGTTCCCCCGGAGGGGCCCCGAGGGGAGGAGGATGAGGAGCAGGATGAGGAGCAGGATGATGATGATGATGATGATGATGATGATGATGATGATGATGATGATGATGATGATGATGATGATGATGATGATGATGATGATGATGATGATGATGATGATGATGATGATGATGATGGAAAGAGCGTGTTCTACCGCTGCTGGCGGAAAACCGGGGGGGGTCTTTACCGGTTCGAACCCCTCCCCCCCCCCCCTCCGGAAAACCGGGGGGGTCACTACCGGTTCGAACCCCTCCCCCCCCCCCCCCCTGCTCATCATGAAAAGGGGGGGGGTCACTACCGGTTCGAACCCCTCCCCCCCCCCCCCCCCTCCGGATCCGGAAAACCGGGGGGGTCACTACCGGTTCGAACCCCCCCCCCCTCGAAAACCGAGTGGGGGTGCGGACAGTGGTGGGGACGGTGTTGGTGGGGACAGTGGTGAGGGGATAGCGGGACAGTGGTGGGGACAGTGGGACAGTGGGACAGTGGTGGGGACGGTAGTGGTGGGGACAGTGGTGGGGACAATGGTGGGAACAGGGGGGGACAGTGGACAGTGGTGGTGACGGTGGTGGTGGGGACAGTGGTGTGGGGACAATGGGAATGAGGTGGAAACAGTGGGACAGTGGAGGGTACAATGGTGGTGGGGACAGTGGTGAAGGCGGTGGCGAGGACGGCGGTGGGACAATGGGACAGAGGTACAGTGGGGACAGTGGTGGGGACAGTGGGGACAGTGGTGGGAACAGTGGGACAGCTCAGTGGGACAGCGGAGGAGTCAGTGGGACAGTGGGGACAGTGGGGATAGTCGGGCAGTGGTTGGGGCCGTGGAGACAGTGGGGAGAGTGGAACCGTGGTGGGAACAGTTCTGGGGACAGCGGGGACAGTGCGACAGTGGTGGGGCCACTGGTGGGGACAGTAGGGGCGGTGGTGGAACCAGTGGGGACAGCGGTGGTGAGGACAGTGGTGCTGGGAACACCAGTGGGGGATGTGATGCGGACGGTGGTGGGGACCGGGAGTCGTTTGCTGGCGGTGAGTAGGGGGGGGGGGGGGGGGGGGGGGGGGTTCGAACCGTAGTGACCCCTCCCGGTTTTCCGATCCGGAGGTCGTTCGACCGGTAGTGACCCCCCCGGTTTTCGAGCGGGAGGGGGGGGCGGGGGAGGGGGGGGGGGGAGGGGGGGGGGGGGGGAGGGGGGGGGGGGGGGGGGTTTGCCGGGGGGGGGGGGGGGGGGGGGGGAGGGGCTCCGGGGGAAAAGGTTGGCAATTTTCCACAGTAAAGCGGCGGTGGATCACGCTCTCTCTGATGATGATGATGATAATGATGATACTGATGATAATGATGATAATGATGATGATTAGGATGATGGTGATGATGATGATGATGGTACTGATGGTGATGATGATGACAACGGTGATGATGATGGTGATGATGATGAGGATGATGATGATTATGCTGATCAAGATGATCCCCATGATCTTGATATTGATGATGGATGTGATGTTGATGATGATGATGATGATGATGATGATGATGATGATGATGATGGTGAAGATGGTGATGATGATGCTGCTGATGATGATGATGGTGGTCGTGGGGAGGATGATGCTGATGATGCTGATGATGGCGACGATGATTATGATGATTATGATGATTATGATGATGACGATGACGATGACAATGATGATGACGAGGATGATGATGATGATTGTGATGATGGTGATGATGATGATGATGATGATGATGATGATGATGATGATGATGATGATGATGATGATGGTGGTGATGATGATGATGATGGTGGTGGTGGTGGTCGTGGTGATGATGGTGACGATGACGACGACGACGACGAGGTCGACGACGACGACGGTTGCCCCCAAGGGGTCCCAAAACCTTGAAAACAAAGACGCACGGTGCCGAGGCGAGAACGGCATTTCATGTTCCCGCGCGCGATGCGCGCCGCGTGCCATTCTTGTTGCGCGTCGTGCAACATCGACATCGGAATGTACATGTTAACTCGTATTGTGTGTTCCGTGGGTACGGCGGAAGGGTCTGGAAATGCCTCGCGTGTTATGCGCGGCGCGTCCCATTCATGCCACGCGTGTGCAACGTCGACGACGGAGGGGCCACGTTTTCAGGGGGAGCGCATACTCTGCAGGGAGTCCCTGATGGAGACCCGGCTCCCCCTCCCACGCCCGCTCGATCGTTCCTCCTCGCCCTGCGCCTCCCTGTCCTCCCTGTGAGGACGCAGGGCCGACATGCGAAAACCAGGGGTCGTTTTGTCAGGGCTGGGCGTCGTGCTGCTCGCGTGGGCGAGCTTGCTTACGCAGTGGGGTGGGCGGCGCGGAAGGTCTGGTGCTCCGAGGTTTTGCGGGCTGCGACCTACGGGTCGGACGCTCACGGCACGTCGGAGGCGGAGTTCTTTGTTATGCGCCGTTCTTTTGCTAGCTGTACCATTAAGCCGTCGGCAAAATGACCGAGAGAGAGACCTGTATCATTGATACAGGTCTCTCTCTCGGTCATTTTGCGCCTCGAGGAGGACCCCACGTGGATGCCAAGGTGGTCCCGATCTGTCGATGGCGCAAGGAGCTGCGGCACACCCGCCTCGCACCCCATCCTTCTATCTGGAGCTGCTGGGAACTTCGGGAGTCTCCAGCCTCGGCTTTGAAGGTTTCCAAGACTTGGCAAGGTGCCTCAGGACCCGCTTCTGCATGAAGGATTTGTTCGAAAGCATCAGCTGGCATTTGCAGGGCCTTGCCACGCTGATCGGCGATCGTGGAGCGGAGCTTCCGCATCTGTCTTGTTCGTTTTCCCTGGTGCGGAGATTGCTCCGCTAGACTGTTTTTGTTCACCAGTTGGAGCAGGATAACGGCAGCAAGCTCGGGTTTCCTCAGCGAGTTCGCGTAGACCCTACCAGCTCTTACTTGGCCAGTAAAGTTTCTTCCGAGCGAGAAAGGCACCATTTGGGCTTGATCGCGTGGAGCGGCCTGGACTTGGATTAATGCTGTCTCCGAATGATGAATGATAGAAGTTTCAGGAAGTGTGCAAGCACTGAACTGGCCGGATATGCAACGGTTTGCACATATCTCGGTATGTTTACATCTTGATATTGAGTGTCGGGAGGCTGTCGGGGATGAATTGGTCAATGGGGTGATCGATGTTGCAAGCGTCGACAAGGAAAGGCTGACTTTGTGTGCGCGCGAGATCATAGTCCACCTTGGGGACCAACGTTCGCCCCCGCTCGAGAATGGCGGTTGGCAGGTTGACTACAAGCGTGGGCCCCATCCCCCAACCCCCTTTCGTCATTCAGAGCCAAGTGTTCATCGACGGGTCTTGCTCCCGTCACGCGATCAAAGAATTGAATCGCGCGTCTTGCTTCTTGGCTGATTCGAGAGAGGCTGACGGACATGTCTGCTCCATGCGGTGTCCTGTTTGGGCGCCGTTCCCCCGGACCCCCCAGACTTGGTAGTTTTCGGCGTTTCGGGGCGCCACCATGTATGCGTTTGTCAGGACCCAGCGAGCTTGCCACGGACAGTTTTAATGTCAAGCTGGTCTACGATTTCCCTAGGGATTTCCAGATGGATCCCACGCGAATGTATGCTGGCATTTTTCCTGCGCTCGGAGTAGGTTTTAGAGACGATTCATAATGGCTGCCTCCGAAGTAAGAAGCCACCACCGTATTCAGGATGATGTCCCTGCTGAACTGCAAGTCCTCCATCTCGGGAGCCATCTTGCGGACCCTGGCCCGAAGGAGGCTCTGCTCAGCCACCCCAGAAACGAAAACGGTCTGGAAGGTACTGACATGTGTGTCAAATACGGTCAGGCCCCGTGCAAGCTCGCAGGCCCACACGTCGCCTCCCAGTGCTCCCAATCACAGTGCAGATGTCCCCCCAGCCCGCTGTTCCTTTGCAGTCGGTGGCGTCGTTTGGTTTGAATTTGGTAAGTCCGAACTGTCATTGCCCAGCGTGCCTCCAGGTCCGTCGCCTCAGGGATGATGTCAACGCCAAATTGCGCTCCTGTTCCGGTCTGAAGGCGCGCAGTGTCGAGAGTTTGGATGTTTCCAACCATAGATGTGTAGTGTTCCCATGCAGTGGCGGTGCTCAGTTCATTGCGTGCATGGAGCGCAAACGCTACACCTCCCATGGTTGTGTCCGCAGTTTCCATCTATTTTGTGCGACCCTCCTCTTGGCAAGTTCGGGATGTGGGCGTGGCAGCAAATATCCAACAGCCGTCGTGGAAAGAGAAGTCCTGCTTCAGCGCAGCTGGGGCCAACCACGCAGGTCGCCTGGAGAGATCGCCTCAATCTGCCCCCACCTCGCCTCCACCCGCCCCCTCGTCGGACCTTCCCTTGTATGCCGACGCGGAGCCGCCTAGCACGTTTCCCTGCTGCGTCGTGTGCAGGCCGCCCGCTTCCAAGGATGAGAACGGGGTGCCTCCAACACCGCCCATCTGGGAGCGAAAGGACAAGCCTGATTCATTCGCAAACTATGTCGTCTCGTTCCTTGGCTTGTATGCTGCTGGAGTTTGGCTGTCGCCACGTCCCAGCTTGGTGTTAGGCCCCTGCTTGAGGGGTCACGACCACGTGGTTGAACCCTTGCGGGGGCCACAAGTCCCTGCCCTTCCTGCTCTGTCCCGTCTGCTCCTGTTCCTCCGCCAGCGGCTCGCCCCTGCGGAGCCGACGCTGGTGAGCACGGACATTCCGAAACGACAGGACAATCCCGCCCCCTCCTCATCCTCCGCTTCCTGCCCTCTCCTTCTCCTTTTCCTCCTCTTCCTCTTCCTCCTCCTTTTCCTCCTCCTCCTCCTCCTCCTCCTCCGCCTCCTTTTCCTCCTCCTCTTCCTCCTCTTCCTCCTTTTCCTCCTCATCTTTGTTCTCCTCCTCCTCTTCCTCCTCCTCTTCCTCCTCCTCTTCCTTCTCCTCCTCCTCTTCCTCCTCATCCTTCCCCTGTCCGGACGTCCCGCGTCGACTACTTCATCCGGACGTCTTGCGTCGACTTTACCAGATTTGAACACCAAGGAGGTGTTGAGGAGGAGGAAGCATGGCCTGGAGGCGTGCTTCCAGAGCCCGATGTACAATGGCTCGAACTGTACTGGCTGATTCACGACGTTGGGACTCGCAGCTTTTGTTCGCCAGTGAACTCTTTGCCGTGCTCGGCGCATTTCCCTTCCGCGCCTCAGCCTACTTCAAGGGAGGAACAACCACCCGGACCGGACAATTGGCATTAGCTATACGGCACTGGGCGTTTATTAAGAGCCTTGCCCTGTTCGATTCCTTTTTTGGGTGCGTTCACTAAACGGCCTCGCTTGTCTGGGGGTGGATTGCTTGGCCTCCACTACTGTTCCCTTTGCTTCGCGATCAAGCTCAGCGTGTGTGATGGGACTGGCCGTCCCTGATTGTGCTGCCATTCGTGGTGCTCGCCTGTCGGCCACGCTCCACCTCCTCCGCCTCCTCCTCCTTCCTCCTCTTCCTCCACCTCCTTCTCCTTCTCCTAGTCCTCCTCCTCCTGCTCCTCCTCCTCATCCTTCTCCTACTTCTCCTCCACCTCATCGTCGTCCTCCTCCTCCTGGTCCCGTTCGTCCCCCCCGCCCTCCGAAATCTTCCGGAGCGCCGAGCGGCGCCAGGAGGGCCAGAGGACGCACGGGCGACGCCGCGCGTGCCGGGCCTCTTCGAGATCTGCGGGGCGCGCCTGATGGCCCAGGCGGGCGGGGAGGGCAAGGAGAAGGACATCCGTACGAGGGGGGTGACGTCAGAGCACCTACACGGGTGATCTGCGCGGTATTGCCAAAATCCTTTTGCGCTTGGTTGTGCTATGGCCCTGCTTTCTCACTAGGGCCGGCAGGGGGCATACCCCGAAGCTCAAGGACCGAGCTCCGAGGTGGTGGCGGGGAGGGGGCGGAAGAGGAGGTTTCATGGCGGATTTTCGCTCGGCGTTCGGCGGGGGGGGCCAGCCTCGCAGTCCGCAACGCTCAGCTGCTCCACTTCTTCTATTGGCCATGTGTCCTGGGGTTGTCTACGCTCGCCAATTCCACATTCCACGTATTTGCAGCGGTCAACTGCTCTTGGGGTTCGCCCCCGCCACCTCCTTCTTCCACTCATGCATTTGCAGCGATCAGCTGCCGCACCTACTGTCATCGCTCCTCGTATCCTGCGCTTGCGACGATCAGTCGCCGTCCTCCCCATCTCGCCTACTTCCTGGGGCTCATGGCTGGTTGGCACCTCTCGAGGTCCTGCCTCGCGCTGGCACGCCAGCTGGCGCCTAGTGCTGCGGGCCCCCGGCGGCCGGGGCCGCTGGCGCGCCGCCACCGATTCCAGCAGCGCCGCGACCAGCCAGCGACCCACTCCAGCAGCACCAGTGCGACCCCAGCCCTACAACCTCGCCCTGTACTGAGCGGTCCTTCAACAGCTCCAACGCTGCGACGGGCACGTGCGAGAAGTGCCGACAGTGGAAGCGGGTCGCGACGGCAGTGGCTGCACGGTGGGAGGAGCGAGGAGGGAAGTGGCGGCGTGGAGGGCGACGGCACGACGGGGAGGGACGGCAGTGGCAGCGTGGTCGAGGAGCACGAGTTGGGAGGGGGGAAGGGGCGGCAGCGGCAGCACGTAAGAAGGCGCGCGCGAGGTGAAGTAGGTGGGTCAAGAATGTGGTTCCTGGAGGTGAGGTAGGGAGGTGGGCGTCGCAGTGTGCGGGTAGACAAAAAACTACGTCTTGGCCTGGGGAACTGTCTGGCGGGCCTCCTATGCCATATCTGGACCTGCCGTTGGACCTTGCACTGGCGGCTAGCGCGCCTCCACTTGCGCCGGGGGTTGCGGCGCCTTTCATTTCCTCTACCTCGCGAGGGCCGCAAGGGTTCACGACGGCGGGGTTCGACGTGGGCGTGCTCCTGATCCCGCCAGGGACCCCTCATCCGCTCGTGGCGTCGATTGTCTCCCCGGCGAATTTCTCTGCGAGCCGCTGCGTCGTCGGCAGATCGCCGCTCCCCGCGCGGGGTGCCCACCGTGGTGGCGCGCGGGGCGCCCTGGCGGTTGGTCGCGTTGCCTGGCCGCTACCTCATGCATCCCTTCCTGGGGCATCGTTGGTCTTCTGCATCTACGCGAAGGTGTACCTCTGCGGGATTTGAAGTTCGTTCTCCTGGTGACAGTCTACATCGCCCTGTCGGACGCACTCCCTGGCGGTCGTTCGGGGCGGCCGTTTCCTCTGGTCCTCTTCACAGAGGTGGTCTTTGTCTTTGGAGCCTCCCAGTCTTCCTGCTGCTCTGCAAGGTCTTCGCATTCGGCAAGTCGGTTTCCCTTCGTCACCGCCTTCCTGGGCAAGTGTGGCGTCCTGGCCAGCTACGCCGCCATCGTGAACATAGCTTTCCTCGGCGCTTTCCTCACGCTCCCGGTATGCTTCGACGCCTTCGCACCGTTTTGTTCGTCCAAGCTCCGCTCCGTACCAGTCTTTGCTCGTCACAACTTGTCCGCAGCTGGTGGCGCATCCTGCCCTTGCTAGCCCGGCGTTCTACCAATTTCGCGCGCCCGCGTACCAACAAGTACCCCCCCCAGCCCATCCAGAATCGATGCCAATGAGAGCTGACGGTGGGGGAGGAAGAGACACGCAGACACGCATAGTCAACCCATTCAGAAGCTTTGGGACGTTCAGATGGGCTGGCCATCTCGAGCCAACTTGGAGCTGCCTTGGGGCCTCTTGGAGCACCTTGGGGGCCATCTTGAGACAGCTTGGGCTATCTTGAGCCATCTTTGATGTCATCTTGGGCTCTCTGAGGCCGCTCAGGGGCCTCTTGGGGGTTTCTCGAGGGCCTCTTGGAGCCCTCTTGGGGCCTCTTGGGGCGTCCGGAGACCCGGGGGCCTCCTGGGAGCCCTGGAGGGCCTCTCGGGGCCATCTTGGAGGCGGTCGGTCAGAGGAGGGGGGGCACTCGATGTGCGTCCCCCCCATCGGGGGCCACGATCCTTGTGAGGGTGTCAAAGTGGCCCTCCCGCTGGCCGAGAAAGGAGCCTGCGATGCCTTCCAGAAAAACTTCACTGAGGGGAGGGGGATGGTTCCCCCCCGAAGGGAAGAGGGATTGTGGAAGAGAAAGAGTATCACCCTTAGGCCACCTGTCACCCAAACGGTTGGTGGGATTCGCGTTGCATTACATTGATTGCACCATCGCGGTTGCAATGCACAGACTGCACGGAAACACGTTTGGGTTTTGCGGGGTTTCTCGTTGGCTTACATTCAGCTAGAACCCTTAATGTTAGCCAGCGTGGACCCCTGACAACGACATGTTACATTATATACGGCGCAACTTAGGTGGTGCAAGATATGTTATGCAAGGCTACGTCTTGAATTGCAATGCGCGCCAAGGAAAAGCAACGCAATGCGATCCCAAGCGATGCAACGCAATGGAAAGCAACGCACAGCGACGCAACGCAACGTAATGCGATTGCAATGCCATGCCCCAGGCCCTTTAAACCATAGTTTTTAAAAAGGAGGACGCCTGAGGTGCAAGCGCTGTTTCGGGAAAAAGGGGCGGCAACGGATGAAACCGAGGCCGTCGTGCCCGCAGACGGGCTTCGCGATTGGGATTTTCCATTGGGAACAAGTGAGCGGCAGCGGACGAGAACGGGGTCAAGAGGGCCGCAGACGGGTTCAGTTCCTTGGTTGAGGAGTAAAAACCCTTGAGTGCAATGACCGTTTGGAGATTTCACAGCCGCGCGCAGCCACGTACATTCTACCACGCGCAGGGGTGCCCACAGGTAATCCAGGTCTTACAGCCGCCTGCATGCTCCGTTGATGTTGACAGGGATGGTGTGGGCGGCACGTTGTTCCTGGTCGATGGCGGGTAGAGTGGGGGAGGGGGCGCTGACTAACATGGAGTATACGGTCGGGGACTTTGTCTTGGCGTGTCGCTCCGCCGGTTCTGGGCCACCACCTTTCGGCGCGACATGCTATCCACGTCCCCGTTTCCAAGCGCCAGTGTCTCGAGCCTTTCCGAGCCCCCCGCCCCGCGAATCGGAGCGACACGCCATCCGCTTGCAAGGCGTTGCGTGTAGCTGGGGCCGCCGCCGTGACACGCTTTCCAGCAATTCCAGACCCTAACCCCTCCCGTGAAAGCCAGAAAAGAGGGGTTGAAGAGGAAACGCCATAAACCACCTCTGTCCAGAAGGCTACGGGAGTTACCCTGGGCCTCCGGGCCTCGTCCCACCCTCCTACTCCTCCACTTCCTTTGTTCCCTCGTCCTCATCCTTGCTACTTCTCCACTCCTCCAAATCCTCCTCTCCCTCCTCCCCGGGGCTCCTGCTGATCCTCCTCGGCTGTCCTGCGTCTCCTCCGGCACAGCCGGTCTGGCACAAGGAGTGGGATGGTGGCAGCGGCACGGCCACTGTGCTGGCTCGTTTCCCTCCTGTGCCCATGGACTGCAGCAGCAGCGGTCAACGTGAACGTGGCGGCGACTCGCCTGCTGACGTCGGAGTGCCCAGACCTGCTGCAGCAGGACCAGGATGTAGTCGAGCTGTGGCTCAGTGTGACCAGCCTCGCGCTGGAGGCGCACGCGGTGGTGTACCGTGATCCGTCGCACGCTCTCTCCGCGCACCTGCAGATCCTGGTGACTTTTCTGACCTCCTACCCCGCGCACGTGCTGCACGTGTGCCCTGGGTCGCTCATGCGGTTCTTCAAGAGAGCCGCAGACGCGGCAATGGGGGCGGGCCAGCGTCTGCGGTGCCGCTACCTGATGCAGTGGGGCACGACGTATCGCCTGATGGCGATGTCCCGGTGGTACAACTACATGACGTCCAACCCGACGTGGACCAAGGAGAATATGTTCCCTGCGATCTCGACCGTCGACTGTGTGGAGGAAGAGGAAGAGGAAGCAGTGGAGAGAGGACGGAGGAAAAGGAGGAGGAGGAGAAGGAGGCAGCCATTTAGATCCGATTTTGAAAGGAATTTCAACATTGCGATCAATCACGACTGTATCTCCAGACCTGAACTTTTTGCAGGATTTTTCGAGGCTGATCGATCTGTCATGACCAGATGTCTGACCCCCAGCGAGAACGCCTGGTTCGAAATAACGAACGGATCTGCGGGGAGCAGTGAGAAGGTGCCCCCTGAGGACTGTAAATGTCGACTGGATGGGTGATGGCGAGGTGAAGTGAAGGAGGGGGGGGAGGAGGAGGAGCAGGAGGAGGAGGAAGAGGAGGAGGAGGAGGAGCTGGAGGAGGAGCTGGAGGAGGAGGAGGAGGAGGAGGTGAAGGCGAAGGATGGGAGGAGGAGAAGGAGGAGGAGGAAGAGTTGGGGGAGGAGTAGGAGCTGGAGGAGGAGGAGGAGAAGGAGGAGGAGGAGGAGGAGGAGCAAGAGGGCGGAGGATGAGGAAAAGAAGCGGAGGAGGAGGAGGAGGAAGAGAAGCGGAGGAGGAGGACCAGTGGAAGCCCAAGAGTCATCAACGATGGTGGAATTCACCCTCCCTCCAAGCTCCCTCTTCATAGGCCCTCACAACGGTTCACGTCCACTGAGGGAACTTCCTCTTTGGAAGACAACAGCTTGAAGATCCTGAAGCGTGCCAAAACATTGTCCTCGGGATTTTAACGGCACGTGTCAACCTGACTGCTACGTCTTGACGGTCCTGAATCTTACCAGAGCGCCATTGCTGGGATTCCAACACAGCGAATCAACATAACTGTTGCGCCCGCATACCCCTGAACCTTTCCAAACACAATTTCTGGTACGCTGATCATGGGAATACGTGAAGCTCTTGCAACTGTTAAAGACGAATGTGCGCGGCGCTAAGGCGAGAGCAACATTTTGAAAACCACCCGTCCTCAATCCGTGAAACTCTTGCAACTGTTTAAGGCGAATGTGCGCGGCGCTAAGGCGAGAGAGCCACATGTTTAAGACCACCCGCCCTCAGTCTGTCAAGCTCTTGCGAATGTTCAGAAACGACTGTGCGCGGCGCTAAGGCGAGAGCAACATTTTGACAACTACCCGCATTCCATCCATGAAGCTGTTACCATTTTTATAATGTCGGAGTCGTAAATGGTGGGGGAGTCTCTGGCGAAACGCTCGGCCCGCCCTAAAAAATTGCCTCGGGGTGCGACAGGGAGGAGTTATCTATAAGGAGAAGGAATGGAGGAGGAGTTTGTCAAGGGGGCATTTTGGCGTAGGGGACAGGAAGAATCGACGGCTGTACTTGTCACCCGGGTGTTCGCGGCACCGAGTCAACTCTCGCAGTAATGGGAAGGGCGCCGGGTGTGCGCAGAAGATACCTAGCATTCGCAGTACCCATCTTTTCTTCCTCCCCTTCTTCCTCCTCCTCCTCCTTCTCCTCGTCCCCCTCCTCCTGATGCATTTAATTCAGTGCCTAGCTGCGGCCTTCGTGCTTCGGTGCCAACGGGAATACAAATGATAATTATAACAATGACAAGAATTATATGTTTAGTACCAATCATCATACATCATAGAATGCATCAGAAGAGCAACAAGAAGACGAAGACTGAGGAGGAGTAGGAGGGAGGAGGAGGAGGAGGAGGAGGAGGAGGAGGAGGAGGAGGAGGAGGAGGAGGAGGAGAGAGGAGGAGGAGGAGGAGGAGGAGGAGGAGGAGGAGGAGGAGGAGGAGGAGAGGAGGAGGGGAGGAGGAGGAGGAGAAGAAGGAGGAGGAGGAGGAGGAAGAGGGGGAGCAGTGGGAGGAGGAAGGGAGGAAGGGAGCAGGCAGGAGGCTGAGGAGGCACGACCCGAGGAGAGCCTGCCACCCGGGAGCCTGAACTTCGACCCGGAGTACCAGGCGGCCTACGACATGGCCCTGGAGGCGCTGCACTCCGAGCACGGCGTGCCGGCCGCGCCGCTGCGGGCCCTCGCACACGGCGGCGGCGGCACGGTGGAGGTCTTGGCCTCTCGGCGGCGGGGTCCGAATCCGCGACCCGCTCCTCCTCCTCCTCCTCCTCCTCCTCCTCCTCCTCCTCCTCGTCCTCCTCGTCCTCCTCGTCCTCCTCGTCCTCCTCCTCCTCCTCTTCCTCCTCCTCCTCCTCCTCCTCCTCCACCTCCTCCTCCTCCTCCTCCCTTGATCCACCGGCGACCCACTCCCTTGGATTCGGGCAAGTTTCCTTGCATGGGCGGGGGGGGGGCTGAGTCTGAAGCAAGCCGAAAACGATTCGACGTGCGGAAATCACGCAAGTCGAAAGGCACTTGCACGCTCGTGTTTCGATTGAAGAGGGGCGAGGGGGGAGAGGGGGGGGGGAGGGGGGCGAACGCCATGCAAGTAAGCTTGCCTGGATCTAAAGAAAAACAGGCCCACTTGCGTCCCATTCTGCGATCCGTCCGTGTTCCACCAGCGGCCCGACCGTTACCAAAGCGTGTTTCTTTGCATTTACTCTTGATCCCAGTGATCCGACATCGATTCGCCACACATTCTGTCGCAAGGGAAATGAGCTGGTGCGGCAGGTTACGGTTCCGAGAAGGGATACAGTCGGACCGAGGTGTAAGATCGAGGTCGGTTCGTGGAGGGAATCCTAGTGCTCTTCGTGTTTACTGGATGTTCTTGTGCATCCTAGGGAGGGTACCATCGGATGGTCTGCTTGTTTTGGCCGATGGAACTTCTCATGTTCTCGAGAGATGCTCTTCTGTCCTAGGTCTGACTGCACCCTCGCCGATCAACGATTCAGGCAACTCGATGGGCGGCGGGGGTAGGTCTCGGAATTCGTCGAGCACGTGGCGCGCTCCGAGCCCGCCCCCCGCCCCCCGTCGATTCAGGAAAGTCGATAGGGGGGCGGGAACTGTTGGTTAGAATACGGCTGCGCCGGTTGTTCTGGCCCACCACGGTTCGGCGCGACACGCTATCCACTTCCCAGTCCCCAGACTTCACCGTCCCGAGCCTTTACGAGCCTCCCGCCCCGTGGAGCGGAGCGACACGCTATCCGCTTGTAGAGTTTGACGGTAAGCAAGGTTCCTGACCGTAGGCCTCCTAGATGGGGTCAGAGTCGATGGGGTCGAAGGATCGCGCAGCATCGCCGAAACATCGATACATCGGCGATATTGCTAGATGTAGAGCACGATTTCCTCCACGCCGACGTCGCCGATGCATGCCGATGCATCGCCGGTGCATCGGCGATGCGCCGCGATCCTCCGACCCCACCTGCTCGGACCCCATTCGGGAGGCCTCTGGGGAGTCAGTTGCCGTCCTCGTCACCCTCTTCGACTCCGCTGTCCTTTCCTCTGCCTCCTTTCCTCCCCTCCCCCTTGCGCCGTTACGTTCCGAGGGTTCGTTCGTATCGTGCCTCGTTCCATCCTTTACTCACGACGCCCACCCTCGTCGCACGACCCCATTGTGGGCGCCGCCAAAGGTCATGGCCGTCTGCCTGTACAAAGACGACCGGCTCCCGCGGCTGGCAGCGAACAACCACGCGCTGTGCCTCCCCCAGATATTCCCTCGCGCCGTGAAAAAATGTTGTTCGTTTTGGTTGTTGTTTTTCGCTTTGCGCTTTTGTTACTCCAGATTTCGTAATAAAAGGGAGTGGGTCTCATTTCGCGGGGGGGGCTCTTCCAGGCTATCTTGGAGGGCCTGGGGGGTCTGGGGACGATGTGGGGGGAGGTCTGAAATGGCTTGTCTTGGAGGGTCCAGACCCCCTCCCTTTTATTACGAAATCTGCAGTAACGATTTTCGGCCTCTGGGGGGCCCAGGACCGTCAAACAGTGGCTCGGGATGAAGAGCCGATCCGGCGGCACGGGTCGGCACAGGGGAGGCTGATCCGGATCTCCGACGACCTGGCTTCGGACAACCAACCTGGTGTCCTAGATGTTCGCCCTCTGGGGGCCGCTCTCGGGCCCGGGGAGCATCCAACACGCGCTCCAGGGCGAGCAGGGTCTCCCAGGGACGCGGTCGGCGGTTCCTCTGGTGACCGTCTTCGTATCCATTGGTTTGCCGATCGGCGCGGGGCCCCCCCCCCCTGCTCCCCCCCTGCCCCCCCCCCCCCCCCAAGGAGCAGATCTTGGCTGTTTTTTTGCGCCTGTTTTCGAGCAGTGGAGGTTCTCCCCAAAGGACATGGACGCACTGCTGCAAACAGTCGCATGAGCAGAGGTCGGAGCCAGATCCTCTCCCTCCCCCCCTTCGCCCACTTTCCGGAAACGCCGCCTCCTCCTCCCTCCTCCTTCTCTTCTCCTTCCTCTTCCTCCCTCCTTCTCCCCCTCCCCCTTCCCTCTCTTCCTCCCCCTCCCCTCCTCTCCTGCTCCCCTCTCTCCTCCTCTTCTCTCCCTTCCCTCCTCTTCCTCCTCCTCCTCCTTCTCCCTCCTCTCATCCTCCTCCTCTCCTCCTCCTCCCCCTCCCCCTTTTCCCTCCCTCTTCTCTCCCCTCCATCCCATCCTCCCTCCTGCCTCTCTCCTCCTCCTCCTCCTCCTCCTCCTCACTCTCTCCTCTCCTCTCCCTCCTCCTCCTCCTCCTCCTCCTCCTCCTCCTCTCTCCTCCCCATCCCTTCCTTCTCCCCTAAGAAACCGTTCACCTGGAACCACGAATTGAACAAGTCAGATTCGCAGATGTCAGGGTCCACGGTCCAGCACTTTTGCCTGGCGTGCGGCGCCGCCAGTTCTGGCCCAACACGCTTCCGCGCGGCACGCGCTGTGCCAAACCACAGAGTAGTCTTAAGTCGGGCGTGTCCTTCTACAGGCGGGATATCCCCAAATAGTCAAGCATAGTATGGAACGTCTTTTGTTACACTGTTTGGCTATGCTTGAATATCTTTGGGCTATGTTTTATTTGTCCTCCAAAATCCGCCTCGGGCGTGTCCTTCTACAGGCGGGATATCCCCAAATAGTCAAGCATAGTATGGAACGTCTTTTGTTACACTGTTTGGCTATGCTTGAATATCTTTGGGCTATGTTTTATTTGTCCTCCAAAATCCGCCTGTAGGGGGACATGCCCGACCTAAGAGTAGTCGCAAAACGTGAACCTCCCGAGCGTTTCCAAGCCGTTCCCGCCCCGCCGCGCGGAGCGACGCGCTGTCAGCCTGCAGGGCGCAGCGTTTCGCCGGGGCCGCCGCCGCGCCACGCAGGGCAGAACGCCCTTGACACCAAGGGTGATATAGAGTTGTGGAGGATGATCCGTGGAGAGGAGGCATGTTGCCAAAGAACTTCCAGATGTCTAAAACATGCTTCAACCATGCTTGTACAGTGCTGGACCACGTTTTAAACATCTGTCGAACATGTTTTGCATGCCGAAGACATCTGGAATCCATTTTCAACTGAACGATAGAAAAGTTAGAGTGTCCATGGCCACGGCATCCACAATGATAGAGGATCAGGTTTTCGAAGGCTCTGTGGCCCTGTCCAGACCTTTGGAGGCCTCTGGGTGGACCTCCCGCGGGGACGGATCGACTCCTGGCGAGGTACTGCAAGCATCGCGGCTACACGTACCAGCAGTTCCTGGAGGTGCCGGCGGGCGGCTGGGACCGGCTGGAGGGCTTGCCGCGGGAGCCGCACTACTGGAAGATCCAGCAGACGTTGGAAGCTCTTGAGCGCGAGGACGGCCCAGAGTGGGTCCTCGTGGAGGGTTCCTCCGAAGGGCTTAGGCGACCCGTCCTCCTCCTCCTCCTTCTCCTCCTCCTCCTCCTCCTCCTCCTCCTCCTCCTCTTCCTTCCGTGGCCATTTTGGCTCAAGGTTTTCGTTTCCTCTGGGAACGAAGTGGATACCGCTAGTTCGCGGCCATCTTCAGTAATTTCTTACAGGCCACCCCAGTCTTTCTGCGCGCTGTTGAGGGCGAGGCTCTCCTGTCAGTGAGCTCCTGCAGGAGCATCGCACGGGAAGTTCTTGTGGCGGTAAGAAGATGCGACAACAGAGGGCAGGTTATATTGTTTGCACTTCTTGTCCTGATAAGTGGGATGTTCGCAGACATACAGTACGCTGGAAGTGTGGAGGGCGGTTGCAATTTACGCAAGTCACACCACCTCGGCCTCAAGGAATTCACGAGACAGCACTCCGCCGTGGTGGACGCGCAGCAAAGAATCCTCTACCGTACCTCCCAAACCTTCGCAGCAGGTCCGCCAGGAACTTGGGCTCCGAACTCCACGACCCACAGCTTCCAGGGCCCGAACACCCCGCTTGCACCTACTGAGGAACAGATCTCACAGTGTGTGGATAAGCATGTTCCACAGGCAATGGATCGCATGAAGTCCGTGGTCGCTGAAGCACAAGGCCCGGAGGAAGTACAAGTTCGTCCAGCTCTGCTACGCGAACAACGGCTTAAGGGAGCTAGCGTGGCCGCCCGTAAAGCAACGGAAGCGCTTCAGCGAGCGGTTCAACACGAGCAGTCATGCCAATAATGGATGGACCAGGCCAAGGCGAATGCCCAGCGCTTGGCCATCGACGCTGCCGCGGCGGAATCCGAATGCCAGAAGGTCCTGCCAGAAAAGCAGGAAGTAGTGGGTGAGTCCTTGGGCGAGCCTAAATCTCAGTCAGCAGCAGCAGCGGGCGCCATCAACCTGTCCGCTTCTCCTCCAGAGTCATTCCGACGCAGCTGTTCTCAAAATCCTATTTCTTCTCGAAGACGGAGGCACCTGCAACTTCGAGGGGCTCGAACTCTCCAGCGCCGAGGTCGATCGGTGGAAGAATTTGAAGGAATGCTTCGCAAAAGACGTCAAGTATCTCATCGTCCAAGCAGTTGGCCCGCCTGCTCAAGGCATTGCTTCGCGCGAGAATGAGTTTGAGCAGCTTCGCAACCGCATGGCCAGCGAGCGACGGAGAGCTGAAGCAGGAGGGCTGACAGGAGCGGCCGATGAACCTCTTACTGCCGAGTCTGTCAGAGCCCCAGCTGAAGCAGGTGACAGTGGCGAGGAGCTGGGCGCACCCGTCGAGGCTGAAGCGAGTAGCTCGAGTGGCGCGACGGCGCCCGATGAGGACGTCGCGGGGCTCCTCCTCCAAGCAGCGAGGCCCTCTGCCGCCGCAAACTCTGGGAAGGCTTAGCAGAAGTCAGGGTCGCGGGTTTAGCCGCGACATCACGCGTTCGCAGTGCACCAGGAAGCGCGAGCACGATAATCTCACCGAGGTCCCGCGCACAGGGGTCCTGCATAATCTTTCGTCGCGGGGCGCCAGGGCGAAGCCCTTGTTTCAGGGGCACGCGGGCGACCCCGTCATCGTACCGGAGACGCATGTTCCCCAGGGCGGCACGAACGGCATCCTCTCCTTCTTGGACCAGCGCCGATGCGCAGGCATTGTCTCCCCAGCCTACCTTGCCAGCGCGCGGGACAGAGTGGGGGGCGTCGTGGTGGGCACCCGCAGGCGTATCAGTTCCATCAGTTTCGTCACTTGGCTGAGACGCTATCCACAGTTGCGGGGTGACCGGCCCGACAGCCCCTTCTCGCCGGGCCCTCTCCAGTTTCGCGATATTGTCGTTGTCATTTGGAGGGCAGCGCATGCGCCGCCCCTCATCATCGGCACTTATTTCGAGGCTTCAACGGGCGTCTCCCATGGGCTCACTGTCGAGAACCTTATTATTGGTTCAGCACTCGTAGCGCCGCATGAAGGACCCGGGGCAGTCTCCGGGGACTTCGACGGCGCCCGCCAGGAGATGCAGGCCTGGGTTCACAAGTGGAACGCGAGAGTCTACTACCTTGTGAATACCGCGCGTGCATCTACGAGAGGGGCAGGACAGAAGATCATCGACTATGCCATCACGTCGCAGAGCTTCGCGCATTTGCACTAGTCCTCGGAGTTGATTTTCCCAGACAATGGAGACCACGACGGCATCTCGTTTTTCTTGAAGCCCACGCCGCAGTTCAATCGGCGCCAAGTGCCTAGCCCCCCCAAGCCGTTCACACCCCCGCCGCGTCGTCGCGAGGAGGCGGACCCCAACGGCAAGCGTAGCAGCGAGCGGCGTCGACGAGAGCTGCAGGCGCAGGCGCGGGAGCAAGAGCGCCCTGCGACGTCAATTTCAACGGGGGCTACACCGTCGCCAACTCGGATGGCAATTGGATCGGTTTCGCACACTTCCCTTTCGCCGCAGATCGCGATGATACCTATTTTCGGCACTGTGGACGACGAGACATATGCGTTCGCGCAGCCCGTGCTGACGGAGGCCAAGAACGTCGAGCCAGAGAGCGAGGTCACGGACCCAGAGATTATGCACGCCGGGCTGTCAGCACCATTCTTCCCGAGCAGGCCAGGCAGCACCTGGCCGAGGAGTTCTTTGGCTGCGACCAGGGCGCGCTGGACATTTTGCGGCAGGACGCCGCGCATCTCGATCTGAAGGAGCTGATCGCCGTATAGGAGCAGCGTTGCCAGGTAGACTCCTTCGTCCGCTGGGATTCGAGCCAATTGGGCCACGTCTGGAGTGAGTTCGGCAGCAGCATGTTAACCAAGAGCGCATGGTCCACGTCCCCTCCTTGGATCTCGAGTTTGCTTTCGTACCATTATACTCCAGCAGCGTCTGCAAGGCTAGGGCGAACTTTTGGGCGCGCGGTATTTCGCGTGGACTTTTACCTATGCAGAGTACTCGGCATACCGAAGGCAGCGCAGTGGCAATATTGCGGACGAGGGGGGCGCGCGCCTTCTCCGCCAGTTCAGTCGCTGCTAAAGGTCAAGCACAAGCCGCGCCGACGCGCCCCATTGGCCACATGAGATTTTCAACGCCCACATGGCAACCCGTGAGCTCAGGCCTTCCCGACTTCCACGACCAATGCGCGATTCCAACGGAGGGCGACCTCGCGCGCGAATATAATTTTTTGCCGCAGCAATAGCAGCATGCCGCGGCCAGCGCACCATCGCAGGGTCTAGGAGCTGTCGCGGGCCAAGATCTGAAGCATATCCACGCTCCCCCATTTCCAAGCAATGAGGGCCGTGTCGGACAGCGCAGACGCCAGCGTCAGGAATTTGGAGCGGAAAGCAGCAGCCAAAAACTACAGCGCTTTCCGCGATTGGACCGTCACCAGCCTGAGTAACAACGTGGACAAGTTACACCGTGTCGCCATGCCAAATGCCAGGGTCGAAAATGAGCTCACCACCGGCGCCTGCAGCCACGCCTCTTGCAGCGAGATGACGCAGACCAAGAGAGCGCTTTGGGTTAAGAAATGGGCACCACAATCGTTCGTTCCCAAGAAGGTGCTTCGCCTGCTGCGAGAAACACACCGACGAGCACGATAACAGCCACTACCGCCAATGGCTATTGAGCAGGCGCAGGAGGCGGCTGCCGCATCAACTCCACGAAGGCCGCGGGCATCGAGCAGATTGGAGGAGCCTACAAATACCTACTCCCGGAAGGCATTGAGGACCTGACGCGCTTCCCAAATAGTGGCGGGAGCGAGAGCACATAGCCTTGGCAGATGCATGCCTTGCTGGTTGTTTTGTTGCGCAAAGGTCCCAATGCTGATCGCTCCATCGGTTTCATCCCCGACACCGTCAGGCTCTGGAGTGCTGCACGCGAATGCTACGCCACAGAATGGGTAGATCAAGGAGCTGGGAAGTGGGATATGGCCATCGGAGGGTCGTCATGCTTGCGAGTTGGGCTCTTTGGGGCCCACCTGGGTGAATCAGTAGAAGCAGGGCCAGAGTAACTATGTCTGCATCGCTGTTGTGGGACACCGATGGCTTTTATGACGCGCTCGAGTTTGACAGACTTCTCCAGCAGGGCCTCGAACATAATTTTCCGCGTCAGATCTTGCTGCTCGAGGGGCTCGCGCGCCTCGCCGGCGAGATCATCGGGGGGCGCCATAGCTTCTGGGGCCCGTGCAGGCCTGCGAGAGTCATAGCTGGGGCGCGCAGAGCTTGGATTGCGGGAGGTTCTACATCTACTCCATCCTGGAGTACGTGTACAACCAGTTTACACAAGCAGTCGATGCGTCGTGTTGGGTCGATGACATCACGCAGAGCCCCTATGGGCCGTCAGATTCGCCGCCGAGGCCCGCGTACAGGCCTGTGTCTCCCCCGGCAGGCTCTGCAAGAAGGCCCACCCAGAGACCGCCTCAAAGTCCAAAATCATTTGCGGCGACCCGAAGGTTGCCAAAGAAATGACCCAGACTATTGTCCTACATAACATGAGAATCACGGTCGCAGGGGAAGCGGTGGACCCAGGCACGGACAGAGGCAGCAAAATGAGAGTTCGACCGAAGGCTGCCGCGCGACGGAGGGCCGCATGGCTTCAAGTTCGCCGTGGCAGCAAGTTCTTGGCAGCAGGTCGACGAGGGTGCATCGCTGCGCGCCGTGCCGTTCAGCTAGGTCGCATGGTCAAAGTCCAGTGCGAAGCCGCCGTGCAAGCCCCATCTTCAGTTTTGGCACGGAGGCGAGCCATCGCACGCACCCTTTCGCCGTCAGTCCGAGGCAGGTGCTTGGGCTCGGGCAGCGCGGGCCCGGCGATTGCCCAAGTTTGGGGGATGGTCGTTTCTTGGATGTCCGTCATCACTGTCGGCGCTAGAGAACGATCCCCAGCGCTGCGAGATTAGCCAGTTCAATTGCGGATGGCCCACGATAAGCCAAGACATAGACGGAGGAAAGCAACCGTGCCCACACGGGCCATCAGTAACACCCTCCTGGTCTCGGTTGGAACCCCG